TACTTTCAGGTATTTCTATTTATGATATCTAATATTCCTACAGATGCAGAGTAGTGAGTTTCAAGTTAAGAGACATAGTGCATTTTGTTGTTCTATGTTGTATATAGTCACCTAATCGTTTTATATTTTTAGCACAGTAGCCATGCTGTAATATGTATTTATCATTGATTACAGTAATTGATTGATATATTTTATTTCATTCTTCCTATGTTCAGGTGTATATCAGTATGTAGTGTCTCTACATGTCTCCATGCTTTAATGTTCAGAAAGCTCTTTATTGTTCTCATACTGCCTGTGCTGCATCACCTCTTTTCACCCTCTGTCTGAAACCAGAGCCCAGTCTGCTCTGATTGGTTAGCTGGCCGGCTCTGTTGTGATTGGTCAACCGCTTAGAGCTGTCCGTCACGTACAATGTGTTGGAGCGCTAGCCAACAGAAGCGCGATTGTTACGTAATGAGGTCATTATGTTAAGGACGCAAACAGAGGAGTGCAATCGAGGCTTTTCCTTATAACATACTACAGAAAAAGAGAACATCCCAGAAAGCACAATAGGGCCCCTTTTTAAGTATTCACTGTTTTCTCACATGTGACCCAATTGGTAGAAAATGTGTTTTTCTATGAGTAAAAACACATTTTGGTCAAGCGCATACTGTAGTATGACGAACATATATAATTGTGGCAATAGATGTGGTGCGTCTGAACGCCTGCATATACTCTGAGTCATTAACATTGCATTTTCTTTTAAAGCCAGAGTCCAGAGAGAGAGAGAGAGTGCGTGAGTGTGAAGAATAGAGCACTGAGGAAGATGATGTGTTCAACCAATGCATACAAGTGCTTTCCTCTCCTTAGGCAGAGTAGTCCCTCCAGTGTCAGATAGATAGAGATGCATTAGTTAGGGTGTGTGCTAGTGTGCGTCTGTGTGTTGGGTACATACTACAGAGAGGAATGACTAAGCATCGCTGCATGTGTGTCCTTACTTGTAACTATGTGTGTTGGCTTGTCATTTCCTCCTCCTCCGCTGCTTCGCTTCCTTTGCCCCTCACTGACTCCATTCAAAGTGTGGGAAGTCAAAGCAGCCTCTGCATATCTGGGATACCTTACCTGTGCACAGCTGTGGCACGTGCAGGGCTGGGGGTTATGTTTTGATTCAGATACACTGCAGCAGGTGTTTTTAGTTATTGTGTGAGGAGAAAAGCTTTGTCAAGGGAAGACGACAGAACTCATTTCAGATGTATTTAACATTGGTTAATGACACAGTTAATCTGCAGTAGTTAACGTGGTAGTTCCATTATTATATCGTAATGCCTTTCTTCAAAGTTGAGGGACTCACAATGGATAGATAGTACAAAAAGAGGTCAAAGCAGCAGAGGCTGAGAGATGCAGACTCTGTAGTATGGGTGAAGCCCTTCTAACAAGCATCAGGATTTGGTCATATACACTCTTCCTGGTCAAATCAAGATATTTAAAATAACAAATCACCAGTTTATATCACTGACTTCAACACACCTTTCTTTGAGTTGCCAAGCCCTGGGAACAGAACACTTGTTCTATAGGTGTAGCAACTAGATAAGGGGGTGGGGCTCGGTCAATTCTCCTCCTTTATATACATTTCACTAATTAGCTAAGTACTAGTGGAACATGTGGTAGAGTACACAGGAATACGGTCTTCATTCTACTATCTCTGTCTGCAGCACACCTCAGTTGTACGTTATGTATTTACAGAGCTCAAAGTAATAACAAGTGAAGTCATATACGCACTAGATATACAAACGCACACACCAGCAGACAATAAATAACCTTTCAGCTTCCTAAATAAATAGTCTGTGCAGCCATTAGCCTAGCAACTTTGTCAGTGGTTCATGCGGAGTTGTCCGGTGGCTTCCTGTTGTAGCCATTGGCTATACTGACTGCTGCCCACAGGCACCCATTGTTGTTGCCCGCCAGCTGGGATCGTTGCATTGGTTTTATTGATAACCACTGATGGTGCTCAGGTCCCTTCATTAATAAAGGTCATACCGTTATGCATGCTATAAAAAGCTTGGTGTGATTTATAATTTAAGAAGCTACATTAATAAATAATACGATTTAGAATCATTTACATTTGACTTCAATTACAAACATGCATAGAATACCAATTTACAGTGTGCATTATTCAATTAAGTCAAAAAACAAGGAAAAGAGGAAGTATAGACACGCATGCAAAATGATTATCTACTTTAGTGCGTCAAACTTATCGCAGTCATGACCATTTTTCGTGCGATAAATTGATAACATCATTATTGGGACAGGTCTACTTGCAAAGGGAGTTCACTTTTTCTAATGTATATGTTCCAAGTCTCTGTGTTCCCTACATGTGTCATCATTTACTGGTCTTATTATTTCTATATTGACATTGTTGTGATGTTGTGATTTGATGCATTTAGTTAAGATGGAAGTTGAAGCCAGTTTCCGTAGTGACCAAAAAGTTGTGCGACATTTATGTGTCAGTCCCTAACCCAAAAGACTTCCCGTTCCCATCCAAGATATTATTTTGAGTGTCTCTGAGACAAATGAATAGATATATAGATTCAACTTATTGTCATTACGTAGTACTAGTAACGAAACGGTTTCTCTGCATTTGACCCACCCTAGTGTTAGGAGCAGTGGGCTGCTATTATGTACGGCGCCCGAGGAGCAGTGTAGGGAACGGTGCCTTGCTCAGGGACACCTCGGTAGCACTTTGTCTTTCCGGGACTTGAACCGGTGACCTTCCAGTCGCCAAGTCCCTATGGACTTCGCCACCACCGGAACTAGTGTTATTCTCGTTCCCTGTGTGTAAATAGAGAAAGCGGAAGCTAAATAAGGTCATTTGTACCAAACAAGGAACAGTGTGTTTACATTGTGTCTTGCCTATAGGCCTTTGCAGCCAATTAGACCAGAGAGATAGAGCTTTGCTTCTGTGCTCTAATCAGCCATTATGCAGCTATGGCTTTTCTGTGTACAGTGCTGCCATTCATTAGTGCTCAGGCATCGTTACTAACACATGCATCTGTATTCTTCTTACATATGCTGTTTCCATGTGTGATCGGGAAGCTGAGTACAGAATGTGTGTGTGAGTGGCCCTGAGGGTCTGTCCCATCCTCTTCGCTCAAATAAAACTCTTTGGTCAGGTCTGGCCTTTCATACGCTAGAGATGGAGGGTTTTTCTTAGATGAAAAGAAGTCTAGAAAGAGTGAAATGAGATGTGGAGTTCACCTTCTTCTATGCGTGACTGCACTGCAAGAACAACCCCTGTGTCAGCGATAGAGGAGACGTGTGTGTGCTTTGAAACATCCACCTGTTCGCCCTTTTTGCATAATGCTCCTCTTGATGGCTGTGTTTATGTGCACGGCGAGGCAAAGGCATGTGGAAGGTTTGAACAGGAACATATCTCGGATGACGTATTTGAGCATTTTGACCTCACAGAGCCGTTTATGGAGCTATCGTTGCTCTATTTGTTTCTCATGGGGAGTTGGCCGGGCAGAGATATAGTAAGTGTGTATACACTAGACTCGTGCTCCATGGGAACGGAAAGGAGAGACCGCCACTCTTCTCCCGGGACAGGTGATCCTTTGTTTTGGTTTAGGGATGGAGAGGGGCGTACCTGTCAGAACCTGAGAGCTGGAACCCTTATCAGCTACCTGAATGGATATTCCCAGATTGCTCACACACATTCACACTCATAGGGAGAGGCACACACAGGGGACAAGTATTCACATGTATTTATAGAGCACTTTCATCCAAAAACAGACTTTATCAAATGCTGTCAACACAACACAAAGAGAGTACTATGACAAAGGTGAAACATGGTGAAGACAAACATTTAAAAAATAACACCAGAAGTGGATAAACTTGAGTTTGATGAGCTTGGGACGGGCACAAATAGAAAGAAAGATGTTAATGTTTAGCTGCCTGTATTATGCTGGTTAACTATTAGGGAGCCATGGTCTACCTTTCCCGTCCTTACCTGGCCAGCCATGTTGGGTTAAAGTCTATAGCAACTTGACAGTGATTGAACACACTTCCCCTTCACGATGTACATAAAAAGGGCAGGGTTTCGAGGCATCCCGGTGACTCATGCAGCGAGAATGTGACCATAATATCCTTAGCATTTTTTGTGATGTCAAGCCCTCTCCGATCTGACGAACATTTTTGAAAGAGCCAGTTGGGGAAACATTCAAATGTTCTTTTATAAATGAGAATTAGATGATATCAATACCACTCTTTAATCTGTCTGATCATTATGAAGCTACTGCCAGGAGATGCTTAGCTTACTTTAGCTAAATGTAGCTAGTCCAAAGTAGGGCTGAGACCTAGATTTGAGTTGAATCGTCTTTTCCAAAATGTAAAGGCTGCATTACAGTTAGATAATGTCATTTTCTTAATTGACCAGATGAGCTTTTCTCATATTTGCCTTAACCCACTTGGGCAACACATCAACATTACTGAATATTATTTATGAAATATCTGATTGTGTGAATATTTTTGGTCATGGTCAACCCTACAATGTCATCACAATATCGATACTGTGGTATTTGGTCTAAAATATTGTGATATTTAATTCATATCGCCCAGCATTAGTCCAAATGTAACAGATCTGCGTCCCAGCACCTCTTCAGCCCTCACTATCATGTTACCATATGTTAGTTATTTGTCACAGAGTGCAGATGAAGTAAGGCATTTTGCATCAGTAGGACCTGGGGGGGGGGTTTTGGGGATGAACGCTGTGTGTGTGTTCTGCACAGACGCCCTGCAGGGATGCCTCAGGCTGAGAGCTGCTCCAGCACAAGAATGATTCCTTTCCCCCTGAAAACACATGATGCAACAGAGTGTCAGCCTGAATAAAGTCTAGATGTGTAATTAGCCCGACGATAATGGAATTTTAACCAGCTTTTGTTCATTCATATCCTCTTTGTCTCTTCTGTTTCTGCCACCTTTCTCTTCTTCCTCTTTCTCTTCTTCCTCTATCTTTTATTCCGCAGAGGAAGCTGATTACACGTTTGGCACTAACTCGCTGACGAGGAAGAAGAACACGGTGCTTTCGGCGGTTCTTCTGCGGCCTGACACCAACAGGAAAAAGCCACCGGTGATCATCAGCCTTCCGAGGGACTTCCGCCCCGTCTCCTCCATCATCGATGTGGACATCCTCCCCGAGACGCACCGACGCGTTCGCCTGTACAAGCATGGCCAGGAGAAACCGCTGGGCTTCTACATCCGGGACGGCTCCAGCGTGCGGGTCACTCCGCAGGGCCTGGAGAAGGTTCCGGGGATCTTTATCTCCCGCATGGTTCCTGGCGGGCTGGCGGAGAGCACCGGCCTGCTGGCGGTCAACGACGAGGTGCTTGAGGTGAACGGTATCGAGGTGGCTGGGAAGTCTTTGGACCAGGTGACGGACATGATGATCGCCAACAGTCACAACCTCATCATCACTGTGAAGCCTGCCAACCAGCGGAACAATGTGGTCCGCAGCGGAGGAGGGGGCGGAGCGTCCGGCAGCTCGGGCCGCTCGTCGGACAGCGGCGCTAGCTACTACGGCTACTCGTCGCACGGCGCCGCGGCCTCCATGCCGTCGCACATCATACAGAACTTCCCCGCGGGGGAGCTGGAGAGCGACGAGGACGACGAGGACTTGGTGATCGAGGCAGGAGGCGAGGCGGAGCCCATCAGACGCGCCTCCTCCACCTACAGCATGTACTCCATGCCCCGCTACGAGCCGCACCTCAACCTCCGCATGGCCGCCGCCTCCACCTCCGCCCTCTCCACCTCCGCCCTCTCCACCTCCGCCCTCTCCGTCCACACCAACGGAACCCTGCCAGCCAGGGTCAGCAGCAGCGGGTCGCTTAGCAACGCCATCGCCACGTCCACCACGCCGTCCCCAGACAGAGGAATGGAGAGGCGGAGTCTGGAGGAGGACGGCACTGTTATAACTCTGTAGGCTGGGCGCTCACACACTAAACACTGGAAACAGAGACAAACACCCACATGCTCTCAGAGTGGGGGTCAGATTATCTACAGGAACATCCTGCAGCATCACGCAGCGACTGAACCTGAGAAGCACAACGTGTACATATGAAACCTCCACATGACACAACTACATGTCTACAGCAGGGTTATGGCCACATGTGAAAAGATAGAATACTGACATTAATAATATGACACTTAAATACATTTTTAAAAAACATTCTGAAACTAAACTCTTTATTTTTAGAATTCTGACATAACCCTCAAAATACTGAACTTAAATATTTAGAAAATCAATTCTGACTTAAACTCAGACTTTTTCTCTCAGAATCCAGACTTTATTTAGGAAGGACATGTACTATTAAAATACATTCTGAATTATACTCAGACTTTATTCTCAGTATTCTGACTGGAGTCTGGACTTTTAAACTCAGACTTATTTGTTAGTTTTCTGAGTTTTTTTTCTCACAATTCTGACTATTTGTTTTAATTATAAAAATACTTAAATATAAAAAAACTGAAATACTTTTAATTCTAAGAATTGTAAATGTATTCAAGTTAGATCTCAATAGATGTAAAAACATTATTTTAAAGATAAACTCTGACATAAAACTGAAATACTTGATTCACATGTGTCCCTAATCCTCTTCCGTACGGTCAAACACTGCACTCCATACCTTTCTGCTCTACATGCCAATGTCCATGCATGTGTGCCATAATGGTGACCCCCCCTGCCCAGTTATGCAGGGACAAAACTTTCAGACAAAGAAGTGTAGAAGAAGTGTAATTTGATGCCCCCCCCGCCCCCCTTCACTTCATATCTTACCCATGACAAGCACATGTTGTTACCCTAATCTTCCATAAGAGGGCAGAGACGAGACATCATCGGACCATGAATACTTGACGGTAGAAATCATGTTAGCAAGTGAATCCCCCCCCCCCATAACAAACACACTGAAGCAGGTTTTTAGCTTTTAGCATTTGCTGACAATCTATTGGTGGTAATGTGTTTGCCTTCTCCTCCCTTTAACCCCTCCCCCCCAGGTGACCACAGCATGCGATTGGTAAACAGTGTTGGTACATTTCCACACAACAATCGACCAAGTGCTGAGATCTGCAATAATACTGTGTCTTTGACTGGAGGAGAGACCACCTAAAAAACAAGTCTGGGTTCTGTGTTAGCTCAGAGGCTTTTTTAAACCACTGTTTTCTATTTTTACCTGCTGTGTTAATTGATGAGTGATAATGAAAGGTTGATGATTTTGATAATTCTTGGGAGCAACTTTTGTTTTGAAAATCCCTTTACCATCAGGCCTGTGATTAATATCATGTGAATATGTTGTGTCTGTTTCTTCTTTTGTTTTTACACAATACTTGTAGGACCAGATGTATCCGACCAGCTGGAAGTCGCAAGTCACTCCAGTAGAATTAATTTCCCATTTCTTCATATTGCACTCCCTCTCCTTTCCCACGACAAGGGCTATTTCCCCTGCTGCGTGTGTACAAATGAAGTAATGTGAATGTGATTTACTATTCTAGGTCGTTTGTTTTCTCTCTGGACCACAACTCAATATATCTTCCCTCAGTGCTGAACAATATATTCATCTCTGCTGCTCACTTGTCCCGTGACATTCACATATGAAAGGGTTCTGTCCAATATTAATGTCCCGCTTACTTTTGGTGTCTTTATTCTCATTGAATAGTTCAATTCAATAGTGACACACTCAGAGAATGTTACCCAACAACTGTTCAGAATGCTAAATATTGACCTGATCAATAGCTGTACTGTAACACTATAAGCGAATCCAACCATAAGTGAGTTTAAGTGAGTGATAGATAACGTGTCAAGAGAGAAGCCGCTTGTACCTGGTCAGATTGAGTCATATTTAAACAAGCACACATGCAGGTAGGCTAGGCCCAGACTGGTTCTCAGGCTGTGTTTGATAAAGGTGAGGCAGGCTGTCTTACATACATTGCTCTGATCTGCTTTGACTATTTCCACCCAAGTTGAGGCTCTTCTTAAATAGTCCCAAACAATGCTCCAATGGTCGTCCTCTCTGCAAACACTTGATTGACAGAATACATATTAAGCATGTTTTTATTTTTATTTAAAGCAGCTATGGAAAAAAACGTTAAGCCCTTTGAAGCTAATTTAAATTTCCGGCTGAATAAATGAGGGCTGTTCCAATAAATTGGAAGTTTCAAAGCTACATTTGAATTCTATATCAGTTTTTTCAACTTCAGTTACAAACTTAAACAATTGTCTTGTCTTACAGAGTTATTCTGAATTGACCTACAAATGTTCATAGTGCAGCTTTAAATAGAATTGTTGTGACTTTAACAAACCATTTGGCCATTTGATATAACCCCTTATAAATGTGTTCTCATGCCATGACACATTTCCACAGAAAGAAGAGATTCTGGCACAGTTTTCAGCTCTTGAAGCAGATCCATAACATTTATTAGAAGTACGTTTATGTCCATTAACATTACACGCTGCTGCTAACTGCCTTCCTGAAGAGAGAGCAGATGGTCTATTATTTCCCTTATTGATTTGTTCTTGCATTCACTATCTTGTTAAGTCATATCATTGACTTCTGCATGGATTTTATCTTGCTAAAACATGAACTGGACACACAAATACACTCAGCAATGTGTATTGGCTTCAACTGAACCCCTGTGCACTTGTCTTGGAGCACATTCAGAAGTTATTTTGATTGCTTGAATATATCATGACGGTGAAAACCTATGACTGGAAACAGCCACTATTGTATTTCGTTATATGTATAAGCTACTTTCATTTATTTCATGGTACACACAGTTCTGATGGTCTTCTTTCATTCCCAACATTAATGAGTGGTACTCTGAATGACACTTTTAGAAATCAATGTTAATTTATTTTCTTAATTTCTAACCTTTACCACAGGACACTGGGATTGTAACCACAGCGACGTTGTTATTTATTCTCTAATCATGCGTCTGCATATTTTTCTTTCTTTGTACACATTTTATGACTTTATTTTTATAACTGATGTTTATTCGTGATTGTTTTGGTCGTAAATCTCATAGATGTTATTGCCCGATAGATAATTTCAGTAGGTGATTTTACCGGCATAAAGCACGTGTGCAAGACGTGGCACTATTTCTTTTTTCATACTGTGAATTATCATTAGCACAACCCTCAAAACAGGTTACTTGTTTTGCTTTTGAGTCCTTTTTTTTAAATGATTGAGCAATGATTTTTTTGCTTGCCAGATAAATCCTATGGTATAGATTTGTAATGAAGATTGTCAGTATTTTCATATCGATGCTATATATGATGTACATTTTTATCACATTTAATGAAAAATATTTTAAGATTCAACTGGAGATGTATGAATTAATACATGTATACTTGTAATTGCTGATTGGAGAAGCTGGATGAAATAAAACTAATGTGTAGCACTTTTTGTCTGTCAATGTATCGAAACACTTGTTTTGACCATAACGATTATAAAACTAAAGCACATTAAAGGTGGGGTAGGTAAGAATGGAGAAACCAGCTCGAGTGCGCTAGAATTTGAAAGTAGCCTACGCAGCCGAAAAAAAATCTGCCACTTCCTTACAGAGCCCCTCCTCCAACACACTTGAACGCGCACATGACCAATGAGGGCACGAGATGGAAGGCTGACAGGCAGGGAGGCCATCCAGTTATTTTAGCCGGACTAAATGCTTTATTTATTGTCGAAGCCAGTGGCGAGCCGTGACTTGTATACCTAGGCCCTCTGACCCCACCCCCCTTCCCTCGAAAAAAAAAGAAGAGATATTACGTCACAGCGTATACTTCAGCGGAATATCAAAACAGCAGCCCGGGGTGCAAAACGCATCAATGACAGCGACCATCTTCCACACAAAACAACACCATTTATATAAACACCTATCATGACAGGGCACCCACAGCCAAGTAACAATTACAAATGAATTAAGTCGGCACGGCGGCCCACATTGAAAATGACTTAGGCCTAACTTTGATGATCAAATCACTGAAACACAAAGTCCATCCTCCTGTCCTTTTGGATGAAGCACTTGCGGGTCATTCAGCTGATCCTTTGCCACTCCAGTTTATCATTGTAACTCAATCTTGAATATGACTCGGTTAATAATTTCGCAACGATGTCATCACTATCACTGACATGAGCCATCATGAACGAACTTATGCTAATCATAAATCTATCGATTAGATTTATGATTTGAAAATAATAAAAGTAGGGTAGACATGTGGATATTATCCGGCTGAACAAAACGTGCATTTATCTAACAGGTTCATTTTCCACAGACCTTATTTCAAGCTATTTTCCAAAATCCTATGGAGAAATCCCATTGCTTTCTGTCGAGGGAATCCGAGCGCAGCTTACTTCCGGGTTTTAGGACGCGTCACTGCACCACTTGCATAGACCTCACAGCGGGCGGAACTAGTCATAAAGTCCGCGAAAATAAAGCCCGCCCAGTTAGAGGGAAGATATGATTGGTCAATTGTACTGTCATTTGACATTACTCTCTCGTTGAGTTACTATAGCTGGCCCCTGGCTGGCCCTCTGTGAATGTAGAGAGGGACCAACAAGCTCTCCCGTCTTAACATAACTCGCAGAGACGGCATTTAACCCTTCACATTCCAACAAAAAATGGACAGGCAGATTCGAAGGATTTATTTCTTTGGAAATATTATTTTAAATACAATTAAATCAAGTTATTTTGGTAAAACTAATGAAAAATGTAACAACAAAAAAATATATTAAAAAAAATGTTTTTTTTAATGTTTTCAAATATTATTTTTTAGAATATCTTAGGCGTTCACAGAGGGCCTAGAGGGCCCTGGCGGCTCGCCACTGGTCAAAGCATTTCATATATTCATTGCTATCGGGAATTTGGGATGTTAAGAGCATTCCATGGAATATAACAAAAAGTGTTTCTGAAGTGAATTACCTACCCCATCTTTAAGAAAGGTACAAAGCATTTCAGTTTTTTGTTCTTTTTTTTTAAAAATGGCAAATATTTTGATGCACACGTTGATCAGAAATCTAAATAAAAGCGCTATTTTCATTTTATATTTATATTAATTCTCTATTCAAATGGCAAGTCATTTTGGCATCGGCTGTTCGATGTGCATGCGTAGATATTTTTCATGTACCTTCATAGTGGTGTTTTGGCGCCATCTGCAGGACATTTCAGAAATAGCGTTTTTTCTTTTCATTGGGAGCGCTTCATTTATCCCAGCGGTAATAGCGGCGAACTGTTGCTCAACTCGCCATAACGCGGGCTCGTTCAAAGCTCCTCCACTGTCTGTAATGTTACCCCGGACACGATTACAATCTCGACTCTGGACGAGCTTGAGTTAAGTGTGAGACTTTCGCCCCCATATGGAGGGTACCCGCTCCTCAGGGGGCTGTTGTCAAAACCCAGACAGCTGAGAGTCACGTGACATGACGTGTAACCAGCATGGCGGCGCTGAGCTGAGGTAGCGACTCGACTGGACTGACACCGATAGCCTGGCTTTCGTTAGCTTCCCCTTGTCACCTGCTTACTCGCAGGGCCAGGCCGAGAATGACGGCCTGAGAGAGAAGCGGCAACACGAGCGAGAGATGCAGCAACAACACCAGCGGGCCCCACAGCAGCACAACTCACACTCAAAAGCAGAAAACAGCAAAACTAAGAGCATGTTTCTGTCCAGGGCGCTAGAAAAAATCCTCTCGGATAAGGAGGTGAAGAGGAGTCAGAACAGCCAGCTGCGTAAAGCCTGTCAGGTGGCTCTTGGTGAGTGTGTTTGTTTTGTGTACTGATTAGTGTTTTTGTGTTGTGCTTCATTGAAACATTTCGGCCGCGTCTGGCTCGTTTGATAGACAGCGGTTAGCTAATGTTAGCGTTAGCATGGCCTTCACCGTCTGTTAGGATGTCCGTTGACGTTTAC